TCCTTTACCGGTTTCGTCTCTGGTCTGTACTAGCGTGTAAACAGAAATAAAGATACAATATGGGCAAAAATGTGGTCGAAGTTACTCGATAAAAGGTTACAAGAAGTGGAACTGGGTGCGGAGTTTGCAATCGTACTCTCTCTCTTTTTTTCTGAAACTGACCGAGTACGCGGTACGGGGCGAATAATACTTTTGATACGTAATACTTCATAATCTCCATAATCCTCGACAAAATGCCCCAAAATATTATGGCAAAATGCTGCTCAAACATTACCTCATAAAACGTTGATAATATGAAATAATACGTCATGATATCTCGTTACGAGACATAATATAAAAAAAGGCCTTGCACTGCTCATCAGTTGAGTCCGAAGAGTCGGCGACCCCTCGTGACAAACAGTGGATTATTTCCCCAAAATTGATAACAAACGCAGCTGTCCTAGAGTGGTTTATTGAGCCTTGGCGCATTTGATGGCCGAGAGGACGACGTCCTGCACCAGCTCGATGCCGCCGAGCAGGAGGCAGCCGTTGAAGTCTCCGACCTCCTCGGCGCAGCGCGACATGATGGCCGACACGTCGTCCACGGTGCTGCCCACGACCCCCGACATGCACTTGACCCACGAGCTGAAGCTTCCTAAACAACGCACACACAAAAAAACAAACCCATAGAATTCGTAGTGTCGTATTTTACACACTTTACCTAGTTTCTGAGTCGTCAGTGCTCCGTCGTTGTGGCCCGCTGCGAATACATCCTAAAATCAGGGAATCCAACTGTTATTCATCTTCGTCTGGCTCTCTAATCCATAAACTGATAATATATGACTTTTAAGAAATCAATCCATTCGGATTGTCTAGTCGGAAAAGACTATTCCTTTCGTTCTTCGAAACAATGTTGTGAGTCTAGACTGATGACGAGCTACCTAAGCAAATGTGTGTATCAGTGTGGGGCAAAAGCCATTGCTGAGCGTTGCTAAATGCGGAAAAAAGTCCTCTTCGGGACAGAAACTTCTAGCGCGTCAACGCGTGCTTCAGCATAATCTTTCTTCCAGCCTTTACATCTCGATTGAACAGCGAAAGCAAAGAGCGTACACAAAACAAGTTTGTACTGTTCGAAATTTTCCACTTCCTTAATTTTTACCTGTTTTTCACCTGGGTTTTAATTTGAGTATACATTATTAGTTAAGTGTGAAGTGCTTCATTTAACTTTCAACATATTTCATCCGCGGTTATTCTTGCATCAGACCATATGCATACAAGAAAGTAATGTTTAAATGAGCTATTTTACGAAAACGAAGAAAAACGAGAAATATCTTGTGCTTCTGAGCAATGACAAAGCCTCGACCAATCAGAGGGAGACTGACCAGCTCCAGTCTGGACTGGAGTGGCAGGTTCTGATTCGCCCAGGCTTTGTCATGGTCAGTCAGGGAGCGGATAGAATTTTACCTTATTCGGCTTTGATTGCCAGAGGTTCAAACCTGTATTCTTAAGTAAATGGATAGTGGCGTTCAACCTACTTGCATTTGCAGCAATCCCAGGATGACGATGACGACGACAGTTGAGGCCTTCATGATTGTTCCGACCTGGTCAGTGTGAGGCCCAGGACTGTGCACCTTTAATCAGTACTATCGCCGAAGTGGCATCTAAGTTACCTCAAGTGTGTTGCGGATTGCGGGATTATTGGGAACGATAATAAAAACAGCAAAAAAGATTCCAACTGACTCTTTTTTAAACATGACGTAGCAAGTCCTGAATTACATGCATGTAAACGCGCTCGTATGCCACAGAGCTAATAAAGAAATCGACATGGTTAAAAGTGTCTCCGAATACACGGTGGAGTCTTTTCAACGAAGGCAGCAGTTTAGCCAAGTCCTCGACGTCCTGCAAACAATATATTGCACTCCAATAAGTACTCCCATCTGAGCCTCACCTTCTCATCTGGGATCGAGGCGAAAAATTACTCACTTTGTAGTGCACAGTGTTGTCAGTCATCGAATAGTAGACGTATGTCGGAGATGAGATGCTGCTCAGGTTGTACACGGGTGGCGATACGGAGCCGTAAAGCTCTTTGTTTTTAAATGGTCCGTAATCGAACTTGTAAAAATTTCCACCTTTATAAAATTACAAGTAACCTCCGTTATTTTTTGTATCGATCATAACTTTACCGATATAGCCTTGCACACAGTGCCGACAGTGCTTACTGTTCGCTTACCAAGTCTGAAGTTCTGCGCCGAATGAAGATATTGGCCCCCGGATGCCTTCTCGGGCCAATGGGCCATGAAAATTTGAAAATACGTCTGTAATTTTAAACATGTCACATAAGTCAAAGGAACGTACGGATAAAGAACAGGATAAGTAAGAAAGAAGCCCAAACTTTACCAAGTTTAATGGCATAAAAGGCTCGCCAAATATGAAATCCATAACGAGTGTGCAGCTTGGAGACGGCGGCTTCCCCAAACCTGACATGTAGCAGAATGGAATGGAGCTGGGCGCGGCGAGGGTGCTGTCCCTTTTAAGAAAACGTAATGCCGTGTCCTGGAAGAGAAAAATGGGTGGATGTTAGCTAACTAAATGCTACACGAAATAAAATTACAGTAATTACACTGGTGCAACTTATGATTACGCGGCAATTGCACATTTCGTAGTGTGCAGACATAGAACATAAGTTAAGTAGTTTACAGTACGAGCTATAATATGCCATGCCCTTTTCGCACCAACAGGTAATAGAGGTCGAGGCACCTGCTTATACGCGTACTGGTCTTTCGCGCTCACTCTCCAACCCCATTTAAAGACTCGCTTACTCGGGCGTGCGGGAAGTGACGGAGGACCCTGTCGGCCGCCTCGCTGAAGCCCACGGTGCGATGGAAGAGGGCCGGGGGCGCCATGATCACGCTGGCCAGCACCTTGGAGGAGTACTCGGGCCGCTCGGCCAGCAGCACCAGCTGCACCGTGGAGCTCATGGAGTGGCCCACCGTGAGCAGCGCCGGCCGCCCCGTGACCGTCAGCACGTAGTCGATGATAGCAGGCTGGTCGTGCACGCCGCTCTCGTGCCAGCTGAGACACATGGAATTGGTCACGTGACGACTGAGGCTGAGAAGGCGCGTGCGTCTTCAACCGTCTTGCTGCGAGCGAATACTTGTTTTCGTGCCTCGATAGGCAAGGTGCCGCAGACGCGTGCTGGCGGGATGCCTACCCGTTCAGGCTGCTGCGACAGCCTGGCACGGTAGGCCCGGTGCCTCACAGGCGTGCTAGCGGGATGCCTACCCCTCCAGGCTGCTGCGACAGCCTGGCACGGTAGGCACGGTGCCTCACACGCGTGCTAGTGGGTTGCCTATCCCTCCGGGCTGCGACCGCCTGCCCGCCTGGTTTCCAGCTGTCGGACAGTGGGTGCATCTGTACTAAAGGCTGAGAGACATTCGGGGAAGCTCACCTGAAGTTCCAAAACTGGGCTGATTTTTCACTTAGTGTGATGTGTCGACGGCTGTAGAAGCTGCCCCGGTAGTTAACAAGCCAAACGTCGAACCCGAGGTCGACGAGTGCGAATGCTGCTCTCCGAGTGAATGCAAGTGGAAGTAAGCAACGAAGTAAGTGGTGTGATACACTGTCCAACAGTTAAAAACTGCCGAAACTAGGGCTGGTCTAGCAAAAATAAAAAACGTGCTAGCATCATTACATACCCAGGCTGTCACCCCGCAGCACCCACTGCTCCGAGTTGGACGCCATGCCGTGGCCCAGCAGGACGGGGGTGCCGCGGCCGCGCGTGGGCTCAGGCCGCGGCCGCCGCGCCGCCACGCGCTGCAGGCCCAGCAGGTAGCCGTCGGCGGTGCGCACCTCGTGGCTCTCCGGCCGGTACCCGCGCCCCGTGATCAGCTTGCTCTGCGGCAGTCAGAGTGCGCAAAGTACTCGGCGCCGCCCCATTCAAATGCAAATGACCCGGAGGGACGTTCGACCGAAAAATATCCATTTGTTAGGGCAGAACCCCCTAGCAGTCACGTGTGGGTGAATGCCACGCGGCCTCGCGAGAAATGGTCCTTGCTTTATGACGAATAAGTAGTTTGCCATAAAGTAAAGACGCGGATCGTCATTTATTTCGCATTGTTTTCTCTCACCGTTGACATCCACAGTTCGGGGCGGCCTCCCTTTGGATATGGAGGCCTTCGAAAGTAGGCTGCAGTCCCAGTGACCAGTAGAAGGATGGCTACGCACAGGCGGCGGGACGCCATTCTAATGCTGAGGATGTTGGGTGGTGCGAACGACAGTCACTCCACTGAGCGAAAGCAACTCTGCTTGACAAGGGTCGAGCAACAAGAGACGAGGAGGTGGGCATCTTCAGCCTGCGTCAACCCAACACCTTAAAAAACCATTTCACTAGGCGAATAGTCATAAAGCTTTTGAAGTGGCAGCTGGCGGTGTAACTCTTTTAACTGCATGGTAATTTCAAACTCTTTCCACTGTCACACTTGTTCGAAGATATTCTTCTGCGGCTGAAAATTGTCACGAATCTCTTAAGGGGTCCATCATGGTTCTACAAATGAAAGTGTAACGATCGGCAATACTATAAGTATAAGCTCTGTGACGGTGGTGGTCGCTGGTCGCCCTCCCCCGCCCCACTCTGCCACCCCCGAGCACCAGCACAGAGCCCCGCGCCCTAACACCCCGACACACGTGTGTCCCCGTGTTTGAGATCACGTGCGGGACAGTGCGGTTCGGGTAGGGGTAGAGAGAGAGAGAGAGAGAGAGAGAGAGAGAGAGAGAGAGAGAGAGAGAGAATATGTGACGGTGCCCCCCACACGAACGGGCAGCCTCGACTCTTCACGAGGTCACCAGTGCCTCTGTCGGGCTTCCCTGCCTTTAAACCCGCAGCCTGGCGGACTGCCGCGGCGCCGAGTCGAGTCCGAGTTCCTGAAACGTATAGCCCATACCCAGCTGGGGGGTGGGGGGAGGGTGGCAATCGTATAGCTATAGCCTACAACCCCAAACGAAAGCGCGTTTCCAAAACGTGGCCTCGAACGTGTCAGTGTAGGGTGGAGGAGGGTATTAGGGCCTCGGGCCTCGTAGTTCTTTCAGTACCTAGTTCATATTCAGCCATCTACGAGGTCTAAATTAATCTGAGCTTGTCCCCAACATCCGCGCCGAGTGGATGTTCGGCGTCCGTTGTTCGTGGGATCGGTGGCTGCATTGACTCTCTCACGGTCGGGGGGTGGCATCCACCCTGCAGCCACGGCCCTCAGTGGCGCCCGCAAGTGTCCCCACCCCCACCCGCCCCCAGCAGGCCACGTCACTGCCTGTCGCACCGAAGCGCTGACAGGTGCACAGTGGACGGCGCCGCCCTGCCGCCCAGGGTCACCCCAGTCGACGACTCCCCGCGGCGGCGCGCGGACATGGCTGACACGGCGCTGGCGGCCGCCATGAGCCCCCTGGGCGCGCCGGGCCCGGGGCGCCGCGCCAGCTGCTCCAGCGCGGGCAGCAAGCGCCGCTCCGCGTGGATACGGCGCAGCCGCGCGGGCGGCTCCTGGGGCCACGTCGACTCCCTGGGGTCGGCGGGGTCGGCGTCCTCGGGCCGCGGCCTCGGTGGAACGGCCAGACTGGAAGTGCCCGCCGTGCACCGGCGCAGGAGGGGTGGCGGCAAGCCCGAGCATGGCGATAGCTTGGGCAGGATGTCCCCCATCGAGTACGTGCTCCAGGTATAACCCGACCCTGGTTAGGGGTGAGAAGTGGTGCCACCGAGCCAGGGTGCCGCCAGGACTCATGCCCGCTCTTGCCGCAGACGCGGGCGCTCACCCCGGACGGCTACCGGTCGCCGTCAGGCCGCCAGTCCCCGGATGCCTCCGACGGCTGCCTGCTGCCCGGGAGCCCAGGGCCCGCCGCCGAGGCCGACCCTGACACCGGCCTGTGTTGTCGTCGCGAGGAGGCCGCGGCGGGCTGCGGCCGACCCTCCTGGGGCGTCGTGCTCGAGGACGCGCGTCTCCAAGGTCAGTGTCAAGACGGGCGGCGCGGGGAGGGGCGAGGACCCACGCGGCCGCCCACCTGTCCCAGCCCTCCTCGGCCACGGCCACGGGCGGCCGACCGTGTCTTGGGTTGTTTTGAAGGGGTTGATCGATGCCTGTGCGTAGGTGCGTGCGTTGTGAGTGAGTGGTTACAGTTTCGCAGGTTTGCAAGCAAAGTTAGTTTAACACTACATTTTGATACTTACTGGAAAAGTACATGTTGCGTGTTTCGATTCTGCGTACTCTCTTGGTCCTATGGGAACCATGGCATCGCAGCCTTTACCTGTGGAGGGAGAAGCCAAACTCGGAACACCACCCAGATGCATCCTCTGATACACCGTATTCGCCCGGTCCGGCATAATGTCGTCGGTGACCACAATGGCCAACGCTCCTAGCGCGTAGGCAACTCGCACGCAATCCTGCATGCCGGTACAGCCTAACTACGGAAGTGGGCGAGGACGGGGGCTTAGCGTTCATAGTCAGTTAACCGTTGAGTCTTACAATCTTAACTGATTCACTATAGCCTCGTCCGACGTTCACCTCTGTCGTTGGGAAGCACGATATGCGGGTCTAAAGTGAGTGACCGTTCTGAGGCCTTTACGAGCGCAGGCAACTCGCTCGTCCGAGTGTGCATGTGTGTGCGTGCGAGCGTGCGTGCGTGCACGTGAGTGAGTGAGTGAGTGAGTGAGTGAGTGAGTGAGTGAGTGAGTGAGTGAGTGAGTGAGTGAGTGAGTGAGTGAGTGAGCGAGTGAG